GGTGACTAAACAGGAAGCTCCAAAAACATCGTCGTCAGATTTGGAATCACATTTGTTAAAGTGCAGTAAATGATAAATGACCTAGCATGCGATCTCCCAATCCAAGCTGAAACCAAATTGAAACTTTAAACGTCCAAACAAAAAACGTTTAACTTAATGCAAATTGGCCGAACAATTTTGTCAGAAAGCACATTCTGTATTTCCCTGAATGTTTTGGTCCACATTTTGGTAACCATACCACAACGCCAGCCACGGTCCAAGTTTTTCGGCGAGCGGAAAAGAATTTCTGTGTAACCAAACTAGAGTCAGAGAGAGTTTGGGCAAATCAAAATGTCCATGACTTGTCCAAGTGACTATTTAGCATTCCTCCACTGCTACTGCTTTCAAGTGCGTCCAGAAAGGCCGGAGCGATTAGGCCCAGACAGGAAAAAGGCAGAAATGGCTTCACCGATTATCAGCAGAGACGTTAAACACATCACGAAAGCTGTAATGAGGTTCAGCTTCTGGATTTTCAACGACCATTTTGCCAAGAGAGATTTTATACATAAACATTCAGAACACATTGGGAAAGTTACTCAAAAATTATGATAAAACACAGTGATAATGTCATTTCTTTGTTTTTCAAAATTAATGTTTTCAAATACTTTACTGAACACTTGTGTGTATGTGAAATTACAATTATAAGAGGATTTTGTTCTTATCTCAAAATAAATACTCTCACTTACTAATGAGAGATTTACTTTTGAACATCCATTCAATATGCAGCCGCTCAACTTCATTAGATTGTTACCCAGTCGTAAATATTGGCAAATAATCTTCACATAATATACAATGTTTTTATGTCCCTTGCACAAAGTATAAGAATAATTGGTATTTTCTGAACATATAGACGGATCTATTCAAAATAATAAAAACTGTGCACATTCATTTTTACATTTATCAAAGTGAATATCCAATCAAAGGTCACAGTTAATTTCATTTGGGTTGCCAGTTTCTTTGGTGAACTCCAGCAGGTTTGCACATCAGTAACCAGAGCTGGGGAAGCCACTGTGAGGAACTGGCAACAACTCTTTTTAGACCCGCAAGAGCAATAACCAGATCATATAATACATTACATTTGGTTGGCACAGTGAAGGAGCCGTTAGCACTTGTGCTTCACAGCAAAAAGGTCCTGGGTTCGATTCCACCTCCAGATGGAGCCTTTCGGTGGGGATTTTGTATATTCTCCCATGTCTACTCCAGTTTCCCCTACCAATAAAAACAAACAATAATTAGCCATTTCTGAAAGCAGACAGACAACCAAATGTAATTAGGTAGTTAATTAGGTAGATCAATAAATGCAGAATAGATTAGTTTAATGCCAACATGTGGAACATTCTAGGCAAAACAAAAACATACTAAGACAAGAAAAGATCACACTGCCCCCACTGCACCGTCTAAATATCATTGAACACAACATTCTGTCTGTAAATGATGCAAAGACACATTGATTTTTCCATATGCAGCAGGTTTTAGCTTGCAGCTGTACAACACAATACTACCCATAATCCCCTGAGCTCAGATATCAGCTAACTCCTGTTTACAATATTTGCTAATGTTGCATGGCTACAAGAAGGCAACACAAGCCTCCAATGCATCTGGTCCTTATTTGCTGCCATGCCACATTAAAGATAATTACAGAGGTTTTTTGCAATGACTGCTGACAACGCCGCGGCCGACTATTTTTGCGATATGGTGAGAAATGGTAAGTTCATGGATCACATGGGATTTCTGCAGAAGGTCGGAGCAGCCGTGATCAAAGGGGCTCAAGCGGTGGCACGGAAAATAATGGGATTAATAGCAGTCAAAGGGCACAGGGCGGGGGGATCCAGAAGGGGATGACAATACTAGTAGTAGTAGTGGTGGTTTTTGATGTAGTACTTTTAGATAAAGACAAACCTGAAATACAGTATATATATTATTTTACATTTGGATTTTTACACAGTTTGGCATTAAACGACATTTACATTGACAACAATCACTAATAACTTAAACGTTACATTTGTGTTGTGTTCTCAAGCTTGAGGGTCCACAGCAAGACCGTCCTGGGTTCAATTCCACCTCCAGGGCTTTCTGTGTGGAGTTTGCATGTTCTCCCTGTGTCTGTGAAGTTTTCCTCCAGGTGCTCCGGTTTCTCCTACCACTAAAAACATGCACAATAGGTATGGACGTAATGAGAGAGTGAATGGAGGATGTTGGTTGGAGGTTTTGATGCGCCAGTGTGTTCGGCGTCTCGCATCAGTCATTGTGTGGAGAGAATAGAAAAATATCTGGACTCTGAACATTGAAAAGCGCTTTGGGTGACTTTGGTCTGTTAAAATGTGCTACAGTATATAAATAAACATTACTTTACTTAAATGAAATATTTCACACTTTTAAGACAACTTGAAGCATATACAAAGAGCAGGTGGTAGAGCCTAATTAAAGTCAGTGCAGAGATGTATATGCTGTATATTTTATTTTAAATTTTAACATTATTTAGTCTAGGGCTGCACAATATTGGAAATTACAGGGATATTCAATATGAGTGTTTAGTATTTCGATCCCAATAATATTGCGATATTTTTTTTTACTAAAATTGCAATCAGCATTGAAACCCAAGAAACAAATAACAAAAAATAAGCACAACATTAATGACATTCAAATGCATATATTTATATACTTTGTCCTTTTGTTAGTTGTTCTTGTTGAATGTTGATGTGTCTGTTTTGTTGTCTTTAATAAAGAAAAATGACTCATCTTTTCGATATTGCGCGTACCAATATCGCGATAACAATATATTTTTGATATCTAGTCTCATAGCAACTAACAAAGATAAATATTACTTTTACATCAATAACGCAGAAGTGTGTTGAAGATAACAGGAAGTGTGCAGAGAGTTCACTGATTACATCACACTAGGGGCCTGGACTTGGGAGACACAGAAATCCTCAATAAGGTTCAGCACAATATACAATAACAATAACACATTACTGACAATATTACCACAAACTCAGTTAAAATGTTTTTATATTTTTGTTGTCAACTCGTAATTGCTGCGACATCAGAGTTCAACTTCAGATTCTTAGTGTGATTTTATCATTTTACAGTCAGGAAGTTGAGTAATGATTAACCAATCCATTTAATTTCTAAAAAATCATGAACCATTTTGTCTCACCCTTGTGTCAGTGATATGAGCTTATAGAGCTGATGCTTGTTGTTGTGTCTTCACAGCGACTGGAAGGCCATCTGTGTGAAACAGTTAAAAACCTGCAGCAGCAGTTCTTCTGCCCCACTGTGCATCCCCTGAGTTAGCACAAAGCAACAACAGGCCCAGCAGGATACGCCTGTGTGTTTCAAATGTAATGAGTCTTTTCTAATGCTCTTTTTCTTCATTTGTAAATGCTAACTTATGGACAATAACCCAAAGGGCGAGACCGGGGATCCACACAAGTTTCCGCCAGATTAGCTGGACACGTCCTTGGAGATAACATGGAGGGCTTAGTCAGAGCTGCTGCTTCTCCTCCATGTCAAGAGGAGGTGGGGATGTCTCCAGGCATCCTCCCAGGCATGAGGCAGGAGGCCCCAGGGATGACCCAGGACATGCTGGAGGGACTATGCCTCTTGAAATGAAGATTGTCCCTTTGCATTTCAACAAACATACATATTATTCAAATTATAATCAGAAAACATATCACTAGTGCATCACTAATTAACTTGAGCCTTCCTTTTGGATTGGTAGCATCTCAAACTAACTTGCTAACTTACCCTGTCAACTGCTCCTCTCACTCACTGTGCTCTGTGGTTCCACTGTAATCACACTTAGGTCATCAATAATTCTCCTGAACAATACAATAAAAACAACAGGAAAAGTACATGCGTTGAATTTGTTATGCTTTATATAAAAATAAACCATTTGCAGACATTCTTAAGTTACAGATATAGTACAGTAGAAAATCACTATTACAGCAATACACACACTTTCCAAGTCCATTTATACAAAGAGACAGAGAGATAACAACAGTGGCACATCTGAACTGCAAAAGCACATAATCCCAGAGAGCTCAGACATGTCATATGACTCAGATTTGAAAAAAAAAAAAACAAAGTCTGCCCCAAATCTGTGATTTTTTGCCATTGTTGTCAGCTGGAGGTTGATACAGCTCTGGGTGGCATTTTTTGAAAAATGTCAAATTTCAAAGTATTGAAATATCCAAACCCCAAGAAGTAAACTTATTGTTGTATTCAATTGATCCAAGTTGCACTGCACTGGAAAAAGTAACAAAAAATCTTGCTAAATGTACCTTTTTGAGCACATTTTGAATGCCTTAAAACAAGATTTGCCAATGGATAAGCAAAATTATCTTGTTTTAAAAAGTTAGTAAGAAATGTTGCTCTAGGAATGAGAAAATATAGCAACGGTTCATGAAATAACACTAAATGGATTTGTCCCATTGGGAAATCTTCAGAATGTACTCGAATGAAGAGGCAATTATTACCTCATAATTAATAATTTTTTCCATTGTGTGTACTTTCTCCCGGTTGGCGAGATCCATGATGCCATAAAAGCACCATCTTTGTACTTGAATGTAGAAATGAATGGGCGGCAGAACAACATAACATGACTGGGCCATGACATAAGTGTTGGTAGGATTAGCAGATTAGCGATATCTTGAATTTTGTTTTCCCGTTTTATTATCAAAAATGACAGCTGCTATGACGCAGCCGACCGGGCATCTCAGGTCTTTATCAGCAGAGCCCCAGTGTTTGTCTGCAGCCTTCCAGCACAAATGAGGCCTGAAATCTGCACACGATTCCCTCGGTTTGCCCAATTCCCACATACTCGTCGTTTTAAAGCGCTTTTCATGAAGGAGTACATGCGACAAACAAGGCACGCTCAATTTGAGAAGTAAAAAACAAGACGGAGTAAAGACAGAAACGGACAAATATTACACAATAGACTTTTCTCAGAGCGGCTGCACATGGATGAGCCCAATTACTCGCTCGCTTTGAAGCGTTCAGAGGCCGAATGGTGCGTTTCAAACACCAATAACACCAAGAACTGAAATGTGTCTTGCTGCTGTGGTCACCAACGCATTGATGATTGCATATATTTATTCTACCGCAAGGCTTTGAAGACAATACTCAAACAGCCAAATGGTGCTTTTTCCATTGGATATGTAAATGATTTCCAGATTTTAAAAGCCATGTATGAAATTCAAGTTTGAGCTTTTTATTCTTCTCTTTCATGGTCAGCTATTGCCATATTTGCCCAATACTATTGTGGAGGATTCAAGCATGGAATTGTACTGAGTAACTAAACAGACAAATGGGGAATTTCTCATTTTCAATTGGTATCTACTGTATATCAAATATGTATATAATAAAAAGAAATGGATGGAATTGGAATCTTTACTGATGCATTTCCTGCTGAGTGACATCCATTTACATTATTTTTATTGGTTCAGCCTCAATCCAATATTTTCAGATTGAATTAAACCTTTTTTGTGAAGACAGACCAAAATACCTTTACAGTTTGGGTATTTGGGTACTTCCATTTCCGTTAAGCTGTAGCATGTGCTGGGAACGACACTTTGGCACACAACTAGAGAACAAAGTATGGGTCCAAAATTCCAAATAATAAGCCAAACTGAATACAGGTGAAAGTCGAAAAATATTTTTCAAAAGTGAATACACATTTTTATAATTCAACTTAAAATGATATCCCAATATATATATAGCATAGACTCATTACATGTTTGATACAATTTGGTTGATGGCCCATAACATATTGTTTTGAGCCTGTCATATTTGTACACAAGTTAACTATAAACAATATTATAACTTTCAGAGTTTCACCTGTGATGACTGGCAATTTTCTGATTATTGGAATCCTTAAAATGTTGAAAGGCACCATTCAGCTGTTCAGAACGTTAACCCTTACCCATCCTTTATGAAGACAGAAAACTCCACATCCAATGAACCATTTCAGTTTGGTACTTCAATGGAAATAGAAGTACCATTAAGTCGTTTAAAAAGACACATGATGCATACGCTGGGAATGACATGATAATGACAGTTTTCCATCAAAGTATGGGTCAAAAATTCCATATGACCGGACCAATTATCTATGAAAACCTCACATATTAGCCCGTGTCACCAGCAGCCTCCTGCAGGCTCATTTTGACCCCGAACATGTCCTCCCATCGTGTTCGGACCCAGGCCACCAGACCCTTCAGCTGCTCCGAGCTCTCCGTCCGCACGCACCACACCTTTTCCTGCTTCACCGTCTGCCCAAAGCCATCGCCGAATAGAATAAAAGAAACAAGAAGAAAAGTAGATTAATTGTCCGAATGTGTAACGCTAATGGTATTTATTGGAGGGGAAAAGCTTTTAGGCCATGCTCATTTGTAAAGAAGGTGTTTGCGGTGAGCGGTCGGGCCAAGATTAGATCCAGAAGTGCACGCAGGTTACAGTGTGTTTGTTGTTTATTTAATTTCTTTCGGAGAGGCATTTCCGCTGCGCTAAATTGCTTCGGTGCTGGTTTTTGGTTGCTATGTAAACAGTGATGTCATGCGAATGCCACACACGGCGCGTTTAATGAGAGCTTTATCAGATTTAGACTTGTAAAATCTATTGGCCTCGATTGCATTTCTAACTCGAAGCACTTGGGGATTGCCGAATCTCCGGGAAGAGAACTGGGCCCGTTAATGCTCGAGCAAGACGTGTGTGCACCGTTTAGCCGGATCTGTGGAGAAGCAAACCTCTTCATAGACAATTATTTATTTATTTTATTTATTTATTTATTTATTTCAAAACCTGCACAAAAACAAGTACAAATATCAGTTATCAAATAAAAAGAGTCACAAGTTTTGAAAAGGGGGTTGGGTGAAGCAGACGCTTATACATTTCCAACCCCCTCACACTTCCAGCAAAACAGCAAATACAAATTACACTAACACTGTACAGTTATATCATTGCATCAAATACAAAATACAAAATAATAATAAAAAAACAAGACACACAGAGACAAGACGCACACTCATTCTCTCACTCACACAGACACTGGCCCAAACACTCCCTGACCACACACCTCTCTCCCACCGCTCTGTCCAGGCCCAGGGCATCACTCTCTGTCCTCCATGTATTTCTTCAATATGTCTCTTTTAAATTTCTTTTTAAAAGCAGTCATAGTTGAGCATGTTTTTAATTCTTCTTTTAATCCATTCCAAATGTGGACGCCTCGGACCGAGATACACATAGATTTTAATGTCGTCCTAAATCTAGGTACATATAAAAGTTTGTTTCCTCTTAATCTGTAATTATGATGAGCATCTCTATCGTTGAAAAGATGACTTATATTGGACGGTAGAGAGTTTTCAGACGCCCTGAACATTATCTGAGCAGTTTTTAGGACAATCAAGTCCTGCCAGTTTCAGTTGCTGGTTTTGAATGAACAGAGGATTGGAAGGATGTCTGTAGTGGACGTTGGACACAATCCTTATAGCCTTCTTTTGCAAGATAATCAGAGGCTGTAAGTGAGATTTGTAGCAATTACCCCACACTTCCATACAGTAATTTAAATATGACATTATAAATGAATGATACAGTAACATAAGAGCATTGGTATTGATCAGGTGACATGCTCTCCTCATTATTCCCACACACTTAGCAACTTTTGTCCTCAAGTAACTTATGTGAGGTTTCCAGCTCAGATCTTCATCTATTATCACTCCCAAGAATACGTTTTGTGGAACTTTGTGAATCGGTGTGTCATCAATTGTAATTCTAACTGGAATTTTACTTTTGCGATTACTAAAAAGCATGATTTTGGTCTTTTTTAGGTTAAGGGACAGTTTGTTATTATCAAACCATAATTTTAGTCTGTTCATCTCCATTGTTACAAGGGATAGAAGTTGCTCCAAGTCGTCTCCTGAACATGTGATGGTGGTGTCATCGGCAAAGAGTATAAACTTCATGACTGTTGATATTTTGCATATTTCATTGATGTACATAAGGAAAAGCGTGGGTCCCAGTATCGATCCTTGTGGAACTCCACAAGTTATGTCCCTAAAACCTGACCTGTGCATATCAAACTGAACAAGTTGTTTCCTCCCCTTGAGATAACTTTCCAACCATTTTTTTGATGTCCCCCTTATGCCATAGTTTTCCATTTTATTTATGAGAATGTGGTGGTCGATTGTATCGAAGGCTTTTTGGAGATCGATAAAGATTCCTATTACAAATTTATTATTATCTATACCATTCGTTATATCTTCAATTAAGTCAATTAAGGCAAGTGATGTTGATCGTCTATTTCTAAAGCCGTATTGGTCATCGGATAGTAAATTAAAATGACAGATAAAGTTGCGAAGTCTATTATCATATAGTTTTTCTAATATTTTGGAAAACTGTGGCAGGAGGGAGATGGGCCTATAGTTGTTAAAGCAGTGTTTGTTTCCAGTTTTGTATATTGGGATATTATTAAGGCTTTTTTGAATACTCGTGAAAGTATACTCAAAGTATACTTAGAATATCTTGAAAAAGTTTACATATTTTTATAATTCAACTAGTAAAATGTGAAACCAATCTAAACACATGCAAAGTGACATACATACCCTTTGTTTGAAATCATTATGGCTCATCTTAATATAGAAACAAACTGCTATTTTTTGAGACATTTTCTTTGTGTTTTTTACACGCTGTGAGCCATAAATAACATTACACAAGTTAAATCATTGAAAAGTGGGACTCAGATGATCACTGTTCCATTCATTTATATATGGACATACAAATTGTCTCGCGTTAAAACTAAAACAGCTTTGCACATTGTTATGCATTATCAATAAAGAAGACGAACAATCTTTCAGTCTTAATTATAATCTCTGAGACCCATGGTCATGTCATGGTAGTGTTGCGCCGCTCTGCCTTTTTACTTGAGGAAATGTGGTGACATAAAAGGCCCTGCAAGTTCTGCTAAGACCCCGATCAAGTTGGGAACCAGCACAGATTCAGGAAAGGAAAGCAGTGATTGATGTGATTCAACGCTGTCCTTTTTGACTAAGTTCTCCTCTCTCTGTATCGTAGTGCGCACTTCCATAGGCTGAGAGTGTGAGTGTTGCATAAGTCTTTATGCTGCACATACTGTACCTGCAGCTATTCTTTAATATTCACACACCCTCGGAGACACCATCCTGAGCAAGCAACTTTCAACTTCCCTCACTGGAATGAAATAACAATGACTTTTACTTCTTATACTGTCCTTGAAGTTGTCCTCCATGATTAAACATATACAACAATATTTTTTAAAACTACTTTATACAGATATTATCCATCTGAATAGACCTTTTTTCGTTCAAACAAGTGTAAAATGAGCCGCACTAGCTGTCATCCCCTTACAAAACTATTGTCCATAACGTGTTGTAAAGATTGAGTGGGAGAGATCAACATTTTTTTTCCCTCCCCAAAAGCTCAGGGACTGTGGCTGCAGAAGGCTCTGCTCACAGCCTCCTCCACAGTGCAGACACAAAAAGGCACAGCTGGGATTTGAACCCAGGATGTACTGTTTATTAGACTTTGAGCACTTTGAGCAGGTAAGCCACAGCACCACATACAAACACCTGTATATGAGATCCTGTATTTGTGTTTTGCTGTCATGAGTCAGAGAGAAGCTGACCTACCCAGATGTGATGTCAGAGTGAACAGCCAATCACATCCTCTCTCAATGTTCCAAAGCCATATCCCTTCTGCTGGGGCCTGCAATCACAACACATGAACACACGCAAATGTAATAACAATAGTGCAATAAACGTATGTGTGACATGTATTTTGTGATTTTGGCTTCATTTAGTATGATCAAAAAGTTAGTGAAGAAAAGATTGTTCATGTTTACACACTTTTTCAAGAGCCCTTTCCTGAAAGGCCTTGACTGGGATTTGCACGCCTTTGGCTAAAACTCATCACATCTGCAGTATTTCTCTTCTCTTTTGGAATCTCATCTTCAGCCACAATTTTACCCCACACAATTCACCAATTTCAATATATACAAGTGAAAATAAAGTCTGTTTTTATTGAAGAATGGTTTTCCAAAGTGTTTGAGCTTGAGCTTTTTTTGGATAAAGAAGGTAATTTTCTGCAACAAGGGGAATTCTATGACGCAAGCCAGTATTCTACGGAAAAATGAAGACGTTCTCAAACCTCTCCCTCAATCTCTCAGTAATATTGACCTCATTCACTCCAACTTGTCCAAACTTGACTTCCAACAAGGTATACAGGCAGAAGGAATTCTACTGCCAAATTGAGATATTGTAAAACACTGACCATCATCTTCATAGTCAAAGGTTAAATAATTCCGGCAATTTAGGCTCAATACTATCTCCCAGCAGAAAATATGGTTATTTACCATAATTACAAGAGCATAACAAAGCATCAAAAAAGCACTCAACAGGAATCTGTAAATAAAACATTATAAAAAGGTTCAGGGTATATAGGAGGTTTTTCTAATTCCGGGTGGATCCTCAAGACTATTGGTCCTCCCACTTGTCAATCATTCTGATGATCGTGCTCGTCAAATAAGACTCTGGAACAAGCTGCCCTCTGACATGTGTGTCCTCACTGATTTTTGTTGATTTTTTTAATTGAGGCCCAAAACATATTTTTTCAGACTGGCTTTTAACACTTTTAACACTCATTAGCACAGTGACACTTTTTTGATGCTTTCTATCTGTTTTATTGTTTGGATGCATGAATGTTTTAATAGATTTTATGTAATTTTATTGTCAAGCACTTTGGTCACCTTGAGTGTTGAAAAGGGTTCTATAAATAAAAATTATTGATTGATTGTTGATTGAAATAAGACCAGAGACTTTTGTTGAAAAAGTGGAGGGCAGTTCTTTCCTATAAATGAAAAAAAAAATCCTCCAATATACCTTTAAACTATGAGTAGACCATAAAGTCGGATGGTTCTTTTGATTCACTTCATGTATTTTTTGTTTTTTAATAACAGACACATTATTATAAATGTCCAACCTGAAAAAAGAGCGCGGTTTGTATGGCTATGCTAACTAATCTGTGAGAGGAAGCTAAAAGCACACAACGCGTCATAAAACTTCTAAATTCAACCCAAAGGCATATTTTTGTTTAATTTTGCCTCTCGACCTAAACTAAGCTTGGGAGGTACATTTACCGACTGCCAAAACAACGAGCATGACAAATAATAAATTAGCTAGCTGCTGTTTGCCGAAGGCAGGTTAGCTAGCTCGTCCGAGTTCACACGTGTTTCATTGCGTCTGAAAACAGGTGTCATTTAAAGGTCCCATTGATCCACAGAGGTCTCTTACTGATCCACAGAGGTCTGTTATTGATCCACAGAGGTCTCTTATTGATCCACAGAGGTCTCTTATTGATCCACAGAGGTCTCTTACTGATCCACAGAGGTCTCTTGCTGATCCACAGAGGTCTCTTACTGATCCACAGAGGTCTCTTACTGATCCACAGAGGTCTCTTGCTGATCCACAGAGGTCTCTTACTGATCCACAGAGGTCTCTTACTGATCCACAGAGGTCTCTTGCTGATCCACAGAGGTCTCTTACTGATCCACAGAGGTCTCTTACTGATCCACAGAGGTCTCTTGCTGATCCACAGAGGTCTCTTACTGATCCACAGAGGTCTCTTACTGATCCACAGAGGTCTCTTGCTGATCCACAGAGGTCTCTTACTGATCCACAGAGGTCTCTTACTGATCCACAGAGGTCTCTTACTGATCCACAGAGGTCTCTTACTGATCCACAGAGGTCTCTTATTGATCCACAGAGGTCTCTTACTGATCCACAGAGGTCTCTTACTGATCCACAGAGGTCTCTTACTGATCCACAGAGGTCTCTTACTGATCCACAGAGGTCTCTTGCTGATCCACAGAGGTCTCTTACTGATCCACAGAGGTCTCTTACTGATCCACAGAGGTCTCTTACTGATCCACAGAGGTCTCTTATTGATCCACGGAGGTCTCTCGTTGAGGTTCTGACATCACATCGCATTCTCAAGATGAAGAAGAAGAACAGGTTGATGAGCGCCTGCGAGGTCAAAGCAGACAGTGGTAAACAGGTGGGAGCATTTCTGACCAATAATACACTGAAAAAGTACAATCTTGGTAAGATTTATTTACTCAAAATAACATAAATAATGCTTTTTTGGCTTGAATTTAGTTTGTGTTGTAATATTATTTTACTAGATAATAATACTTCATAATCTTATTAAAGAGGAGAAAGTCTGAACAGTGGGCTTGTATTCTTTCTTATTTTCAGACAGCTTTTCTTGTTGTTTGGATAAAATTAGTATGTTATGCTATATTTTAAGAAAACTATTATCTAAAAGGTTTACGAAATAAGTAAATAATACTTTAAATGTATGTTTTCAGTAATCTTTTAGTCATATTTTCTTGTTCTATTAGCAGATATTTGTTCTAATTTGAAGCTGTTTATTCATTGTTTTGTATGTATGAGCACAAATGCAGTTATAAATGACATGGATGAAAACACTACACATGAGCATACTGTATATTTCGTGCCAGGTGGGTGAAGAAGTTAATGTTTTTTTTTTCTTTTCAATGTAATATTACCATTACTCACATGGTCACAGTTGTATAAACGCTGTTGATGCCACAGTCGGCCACAAGAGGTCGCTGTTTTGTCTGCTTCATAATGCGCCTAAATACAACTTAGTATTTCTGTCAAAAGATAAAATAAATACAAATGCAAACATATCACAAATTAAACAACTATGAAATAACATTGAAAAATAAATCGATTACATAATTAGAATAAATAGAAATGTAATGTAGTCTAGTTTTGTATTCTTTTTTTTTTACCTGACTAAACTAACTAAAAATAACTAAAAATCGAGAATGGCATTTGAAAACCAGAACCTGTTATACCCAAGTTAGATGCTGAACAGGACAGGGTTGGTTCTGTGATGGGAGACCTCTGGGAATACCACTGTGACACCTTAAGTTCCAAACTGTTGTTGTGTCCTTAGGCATGACACTTTACACATGGTCTGAGATTGGTGTGTGTCTAGAAGTGTTAGTGGTGGTCACAGGGGTCTATGGCACATACTGGTTGCCTCGTATCTGTCTGTGGTGCCCAGGGCAGCTGTGGCTACAGTAGTTTATCACCATGTATGGAGTAAATGAAAAAAGACGTGTGAGGCGTCTATGAGTGTTCAAAACAGTGCAGTAGTTCTGTTTAGGGAGGGATTTTATCTTCACTCTTTTTAAATAAAAAGAGCCTTGTCTATTAAACACACAGAGAGGAGTCTAGATCCAAGTTTTCAGACAAGTTTTGAGCAATTTGATTCTACATAGCTGGTGTTTTAATGTCATAAGTTACATTCAAACTGTAAACCCTTGATATATAGTTATAGCACCTATAATGTTCATAATTATTGTTGGACAGAAAAATAATACTAAAATATATTGAAATGAAATTGCTCTTGAAAAATGTACAAAACACTGCAGTGAAGTTTCAAGTTGAAAAAAAAACATGTGGTGGAGTGGGAACACAGGTGCAAGATAAGACTCAAAACACAAAAACAGTTAGAATATTATTATCAACTGAATAATGCAAGTGGCTTTGAAGCATTTGCCACAATAAGACCATTCATAGGGTGTGAGTCTCCCATAGGAAAACAGATTCCCAAGGTCACTCTGTGTTATCAGCAGTACATTGGAAACAAAATTATCTTGCGCTCCTTCCGACACACATTTTGAATTTCGCGACCAGCCATGACATTGTACTGGCTCTGTTTGTTACTTCTCTGCAAAGGGGCGACCGGGCTGACTGTGCCCAGGGATGAGGTGCTGTCTTGGGTCAGGCTGAGAGTGCTTGAGGCCCTGGGACTGGAGGAGCCTCCGATGGTCCCGGTGCCTAATGGCGAGAGGGGCGAGCTGGGAAGACGTGTCCTGAGGAAGAGGGCAGAGCGTGGGAGTGCGGAGCGGCCAGAGGAAATGCAGGTTATACTGTTCCCCAGCTCTGGTATGTATTGTTAATATATAATTATACATTTGTTATGATGAATGTAAATCTTACAACATTACAATAGCCTTCAAGAATGTATTGAATACACTGCAAAAAGTGCTGAATAATAAGTCAAAGATTGCTCAAATTTAGCAAAATGAATCTTAGTTTGAGCACTTTTGACACCTCAAAGCAAGATTTTGGGACAAGCAAGAAATGTTTCCTTTGGAATGAGAAAGTAAAGCCACAGTTCTTGAAATAGAACTAAATGGATTTGTCTCAGTGTCAAATCTTGTTTTAAGACAGCAGAATGAACTCAAATTAAGACAAAAAAACCCCCCGATTCAAGCGATTATGACCTCATACCTCAACACTTTTTGCAGCGTAGCATTAAATTGGAAACTAGATTATGATGTGATGGTACAAGGCATGGTTTAGGTGAATTATTAGGTATACTATTAATATTAAAAACTAACATTGAATTCATAATCTATATTATTCAGCACCTTTACCATTTGAAAGACATATTTGTTTGCTAATCATAATTCTGGAACCCACGAATACATAATCTTGTTGTTTTTTGTCAAACATCAATTAATTTTTACTCTTCTTGTTGAATAAAAGTTACTGTTTTTAAGTACTGAATGATACATTTCAATAATATCCTCCAAGATAAACTGACATTTTCACTTTATTTATATAACAATCAAAATCTCAGCTTCAGTAAGAATTTTTGTATATAAAAAGTTGATCAGTATGAGGCTCAGTATTCAGCTCCCTTCTGGGTCAGAAACATTTAGAATGATCTTGAAGTAGAGCAGCAGGGCCTTATTAAGGATCTTGGTGCAAAAATGTTGAGGTGACTAACAAGCTCTGTATTTCTCTAGATTTCATATTTCATTTTTGTTTATGAACAAATGCTTATTTTCTATAACATAACATCAAAAGTACCATTGAGGCTTTTTGTGTTTGAAATGAAAGCTTATTTTACTTTTCCAGAAGCCTATTGCACCACGTCTGGCCCAGGAGGAACCCCTTTCACTCTGTCCTTCCACCCGTCCATTGACTCTGGCATCTCCTCGGTCTCCTCGGCCCAGCTCTGGTTCTTCTCTGGACTGGGCCGGTCTCCGAACACTTCTGCCCCGTTGTACGTGCTCACGCCCGGGCATGAGCTCTTCCTGGCCTCCCCTTCCCCTGGACATCACACTGCGGACGGTTGGAGCATCTATGAACTTAACCAAAACGGGCTACAATCCATCACAAAGGCCACAATTTCGCTTCAAATCTACTGCATTGATTGTGAGTGTAATAACGATGCAGATAAGTTGCCATTTTTTAATATAAATGTTCAAAATCGCGCACATAGACGCCAAAGCAGAAGCGTGCGCATGCCGTGGTCGCCATCTACGTTGGATTTGCTACAGCGCCCCCCTCAGGATGTGCAAGGGGACTGCAGCAGAGCGCATGTGCAGGTCAGTTTTGGGGAGCTGGGATGGGACAGTTGGATAGTCCACCCAAAGAGCCTGAACTTCTACTACTGCCATGGGAACTGCTCGTCCGGGGAGAGGGCCGCGGCGCGTCTAGGGATAGTACAGTGCTGCGCCCCTGTGCCCGAGAGCATGCAGTCAGTGCGCGTCACCACCACGTCTGACGGAGGCTACAGCTTTAAGTATGAGACGCTCCCCAACCTCATGCCAGAGGAGTGTGCCTGCATCTAAAGGGTTAAATATACTTTAGTAACCTATGTTATTGGGCAAAGAATAAAGTTGATTTTTCATTAGATGTGTTGTCAGTGTTCTCTCTGCAACAGTTTGTTGCAAATACATTCACACATATTTCATAAGTCTCCATTCTTTACAACCTGTGTTGGGCAAATTCATTGTAATAATTGTGTACTATTTAAAGTGACTTTTGTTAAAGTTCCGTGTAAGTATTCAATGCGACAATACAATGTGCATATATAGAATAATCTAGTAGCACAGTAGTTTTTTTTAATTGAATACAATTTACAACAATTGTCAGAGACGAGCCATCTGAACATAGAGAGCTCATATCAAAACACTTGTAGTTACTCCCTTTGCGAAAACCTGTTTAGGGACTGCAGGTTCAAACAAGCAAATTTGCTGAGACTTGGGAAAGAAACTGGTAGACTTGCCATTTCACTTTAGAAGTTAGGGTCCAGGATTAATCATAACAGTAACAAAGACAGCATTTCCTTGTCAATGCAACAAATACAAGGCCTTTGTTTACGCCACTAGAGTGAAAAAATATTGTAATGACTAAGGCCACGAGGGGGCAGTACGAACACAACACTCCAAGTTTGCTAAATGAAATTGAAGCACTGCAAATGTAGAGTAAGGAGCATGTCTTTGTACTCTCAATTCAGGTTCGTTCAGGTCCAAGTTAATGTTGTGCTTATAATACCCATGTAGATCAATCAAACTACGTTTTCAGAGAGTCCCAGACACACAATCATGTTCAAATATATTTATTAACTCTGGGAGAAAAATAAGTCTCTACAGTTACAAAAACTACAAAAATTGCCATATAAAACAGATCAAGAGACAAAATGCTTGGTCGTACCTTGAAAGAGGTAAAAAAAAAATACATCAAATGGAATGAGATGATTACATAACTACAGCATGTCCAGGTCTGTGGCAGCAGTAAAGAGCCTCTTGTTGTCACACTGCACCAGGCTGTGTGCTCCTCCATCTTACGCACACGTCAAACGCTGGAAAATACGCCTCACCAGAGCGTCCGCTGCAGAGGGACCACTCCACACTTGTTTCCAGCCGCGTAAACTAGAAAGGCCAACTATTTCCTCAGACGTAATCATAACATGGGAAGTGGAAACTGCGCACGGGACTTGGAACAAAAGGATTTCCTTCGGCAGATCTTTAAGTACACATTTGGTCCTCAACAGTAAAGTACAAATCCATCATTAATATTATTGTTCTAAAACAGAAACAAATCTTGGAAATTTCTCGGAACATTTCCAGTCAAAGAATTCAAGCATTTTCCAGGTATACATATTTTTTTTTGGCCGATTTTGTTACAGGCTTCAAAATCTATCAAAGATTTTTTTATTTTTGGACAAGGTGATTTTAAATTAAGAACAGAAAATGTTAACAAAAAAGCCGCCGTAAAAATTCATCTGCTTGCTTCTCCACACAAAAAAGGCATTGCTATTGAAAAGAAACATGGTTGGATAAAAATCCTGACAAAGTCCTGGAGAAACATGATTACTGTTTAGACAAAAGAGTGAAGGTCTGGAGTGTCTGCAAGCAGAGACTGGAGATGTGGCAGGCTTTCAAGTCTGGAGATGAAAAGTGGCCCCAGAGTTCTGGTCCTTTAATACTGAAAGGCACGTTTCTTTATACACAGACACACACATCCATACAAAACAAACACAACAAGCGTGCGCACACACACACTTTGGTCTCCAGTCTCAGTGGTCTGACTGCATTCCCATATGTGCTTCCTCTGGAGTCGAGGGCCAGGCGAGTGGACGTCACACAGGAGCAGGCTCAGGCTCGTGTACCTGAGAACAACGGAATCACACACAGTCAAACATGCTTACAAAACTAGATTTTGTGAGGGAGTCAAGTGCTACAAGCAGGTATTCTTGAGCAATGTTATTAAACTGGACATAATGCAACAGTATGGTGTTTTTGTAGCAGACATTGGTGTGGAGTTAGGAGCAGCGAGCATACCTTTCCCACTGGTCTCCCCATGCTTCTCTTGGGCAAAGTTGAGCCTGTTCTGCTCGGCAGCGGTCTGTGCAGCAGTGTTGACCTCTGGGCTACTGCTGCGAGATGGGCTGCCCTCATCCACGTGGTAAGCCAAGTCCAGGTGCTGCTGGGCCAGCTTCAGGTGTCTGCGGAGGCGCTCCAGCTCAGTGGAGGAGGGGCCCTCGTCCCCAAAACTCTCCCGACCAGAGTCACCCATTGGAGAGTCTCTGAGCTGCCTCTTGAGCTTCTCCTTCTTCATGGTGGCGTTGTATCCCGGGGGAGCAGTGGGCATGGCTACCCCGGGTAAGGGCGTCCGGGGACGTGTAAGTGCGGCACGGCGGCGGAAAGAGTCCCTAATCCCTCCGATGCCCAGGTGGATGATCTCCATCACTGTGAGCAGCAGGCACATGAAGGACACTACGTACATGATGTAGAGAAAGATGGTCTTCTCAGTGGGGCGAGACACAAAACAGTCCACAGTGTGAGGGCAGGGCGAGCGTGTGCACACATATGATGGCAACACCTCAAAGCCGTACAGGATGTACTGTCCAAACAGGAAGGCCACCTCAAACGCAGAGCGCCACAGCAGCTGGCACACGTACACCTTCATGAGGCCGTCACGCAGGATGCGCCTGCGCCCATCGTGTTTCTTCTCGGTGCCTGAAAGCACAAAACAATGGAACACTACATTCTTCACTATGACCGGTTTCTGTAGACTGCACAGACCTTTCTCGGGCTTATCCGGCTTCTCTGGCTCGATCTCCTCTGCAATCATAGGGTCTTCTTCTCCGTTGTCCTCCGCTTCCTCATAGTCCCTCACAGCTCCGCGATTCACAATTGGCATTCGTTTACTCTTGCGGTTACGGACAGTTCTGTACTCGCTGTCGTCCATGCGGGAGATCTTGTGCATGGCAAATCCCAGGTACATGATGGTGGGAGTAGTGATCATGATGACCTGGATACACAGGCGAAATTGAGCACTCTTGCTTGTTAGAAACACACACACTCACACACTCACCTGGAAGATCCAGAATCGCACGTGTGACAGTGGGGCAAATGCGTCGTAGCAGACATTCTCACATCCAGGCTGTTGCGTGTTGCACACAAACTTGCTCTGTTCATCGTAGTAGATGGTCTCTCCTCCCACCACCGTCAGTACGATGCGAAACACAATTAGCACCACAAGCCATATCTTTCCCACAAATGTTGAGTGGTTGGAGATCTCATCCAGCAGCCGCGTCAGGAAGCTCCAACTCATGATGCTCAGGTACCAGGGGAGCTAGCAGCTCTGCAGAGAGCACATTATTTACATTCATTAGATTAAGTTTGAATATAATAATACAACACAGATTTCATACAGATGTTTACAGTTAATAAACAAGTTCATCAAAGTCAGAATGTCAAGTTGATACAAAAGGAAAGTAGGCTTGTGGTACGCCTGGACACCTTATTGCTCTTTTCAATCATTCCGTCTCAGTTCAATAAAAATGGACGAACAGCAATGAGAACAGACCTTCAAGCGTTCTCAAACATTCATAATCAAAGAGCAGCATTGAGTATGAATAGGAAAAGAGTGAGGGCAGATAATCAGAACCAGAGCAGGTACAGAGCCACCTGGAGCCCTTAGCACCAACACATTCTACCCATGAACCCCACGCACCAGCCTGCGCCAATTAGCCGCTACAGCGCTGAGAGAAGATTAGCATCGATTTCCTGTGGCGCTACCAGACCTCAGCCCATAAATGATGTCAAACTCGAGAGCTGGCACAATGTGGCTATTGTTTGGAGAACAGGAGAGGAATACTAGGCATACATTTCCTAGTTTGAGTCATGTGTGTGTGTGTGAATGAATGGTGGTGATTGGAGGGACCAATGGCAGATAAGCCTTCTGCATTAGTAGGTGTACCACCATCATTTACAGAGTGAATGAATAATGCCATTTGATTGGTGTCCAGAAATTCCCGTATATTTTTTTATAATGGTTCATGGTCTGATGTAGAATACACAATAGACATGACTCCTTGTAATTTGATAAGGGATGTCACTTATGGGAGGAACTATTTTAGCAGAATTTAAAGTAATAGTAAAGTTAACGACAGTAACCCTTGTGATCTTAATCCCATGAGACTACAGATCGAAATGGAAAATAAGGCATTGGAATGAGCTGCTCCATTCAAATAAATAAAAAATAAGATGTTCATCTTAAGAATAATAAATATATATTTTGTCATGGTATCAAACCTCCATCTCTAATCTTAAAAACAAGTCAAAGCCTACTCACTCCATGGCTGTAAACCACTTTGGGAAAATCTTTTCCAATGTCACAATGTTTGCCAATATTAATGCTATTACCCCATACATGCATTCTAAAACCCACTGTCATAGTGTTTGGTTAGTGTTGCACAAAGAAGATTATTTTGGCGGAATTGCGAAATGTCACTCCTTAACATCTTCAAAATGAAGAAAAATAAAAAAAAAGAGACTTGAGAATCACATGAAAACTTTCAATCTACATTCCACTGACGATCCCTGTCAAATTACAAGTGCCACCATTACTGCTTTACAACGCTCTTCTCAAATGTCTAAAATACATTTGGAGCTTCTCTTGATCATAATTAAAGGTTTGGAGGTCCTCGTTCAGTCCCAATGGCAACCAGATCGCTGGCTGTAATTACATGACAGTTGACAGAGTAAAGACATGCTGGCACCCACCCACCCTGAACTTCTGTTTCTCTTGGAGTTTAGCTGAGCGTGATTCACTCCGCGTTCACTTCTGACCACTAACCGTTGCTCATCACAAAAATCTACTTGTCTAAACGTGACTAAAATTATCCCCTTGTCTACGCAGAGGGAAAATATTTCCAATGCGTCTGTTGTACATTTGAAGTACGAGTAGGAGTGCATCTTTCCGCCGAGTACATAAAAAGTGTTTACAGTGCGTTTAATTGGACCACAGCAGAAACACCAGACTTAAAGGGGACATGTCATCCTGCTTTTGTGTGGCTTTTTTGGACACCCTTGAACTACTTGTATTCCAAGGATAAGAACTTAAAATGATGCCACAAAATGGAAAAAGTGAGTGGTGGTTCTTAAATATATAGTTAAGCGGATATGTTTAAAATCTCTTCACTTTGACTTCTATATGTAAACTCCATATAATAGAATATATACATGTATCCCTAAAATTGGCCAACATGGCTGCCTCACAAAGCAGCAAAAAAACTTGGAGCTAGGAGTACATCTGGTTTGTGCCCCAACTCTGCAATTACAAGCCTCACCTATAAAGGGCTATAAATGGAGGTGATTTCTGTGTCAAGTCTAATGAAGACTTAGCCAGACTCTTGCATTATTTCTCAAACACGCTGCCAGATTTGTCCTGATTCTTTCCAACCCAAAACTATCCATTTGAAACAGGCCATCAGATAGTTTTAACAGCAGCACTAAGCCATGTTGGCACGAGCTGAGCTTACAACTTCAAGGAGACTTATCTCCACTTGTTTCAAAAAGGAATACTTAATGTACTTGACCTTGGCTGTTACAAATGCTAAACTGACTATCAGAGCTAAGAAGAACAAATGTTTGGCCGTTTCCACGTGCCAGGGCTTTCATGGCGAGAGCAGATTTGTGAACTCCTTGTGTCAAATTGGGCACGGGCTTTGTTCTCGTTTGTTTGAAAAAAACAGTTATTGTCGAAACAGTAATTCCAGAGGCTGGCCGTGTGCCATCTGTGAGTCAGGGAGAGTTTTTGAGCAGTTTACTGGGGCATAAAGCAAGGTGATGGGAGGTAAGGAAGTCGGAGGTAAGCTGGGGTGAGTTCAGGGTTTGAGGTTTGTTCAGGGATACTGTAGACGTGACGCAAATCTTTTACTGAGAAGAACAAGAGTGGCATGTAACATCTTTTGTTTGAAAACTGCATTGTCATAACAGGTTAAACAAAAGGCATTATGCATCATGTTACAGTTTGAAAGAATTTAAACTAAGCCAACCCTAATCCAAAGTGGAAATCTTTACTAAAGAGTTCACTATATCTATATTTAAACATGCTCAAGTTAAAGTATAACTTTTAGGTAGAATTTGAAGTAATGAAAAGCTGAACAGTCAAAAAGGAAGACTTTTTGAAGCGGAGCTTTAGAGGGTGAAAATAATGATTTCACTTAAATAATAAACGAGTTCGAGAAGATTGCATTTAGTGAAGGTCTGACATCTCACAATGGAATGTGATCTTGAGCAATTGAACGAAAACCCAAATATGGTTTATAAGTCAACTCAATGTGCATCAATTCAATAAAACAAAACTCAATCTTGGATGAGGAATAATTTTCTTCTGGACATACTTATAAGTATGTTCAGCAGAACGCTGGATATTTAAATGGAAAAACGGTCCTACATTTTCAAGAGAAGCTAACATTTCTGCTGCACTCCATGACCCACATGTAAGAACACGTCTGAAAGCCACTTTGGTTGTTGGTCTGCCAGTTTACTGTACAACATCAGCCGTAAAAGTAGAATGGCAGAACATGTAACTGCAATACACACATTCACAACCAACACATAAAAGCAAAAAACCCTAAATATTTTGCATGCTAAAACTTTGGCAAGTGAATTGAAACATGGGCTAGGATTAAATATTAAGTAATCATTTCTTGATAAACTTTTTCAAAACAACTTCTGATTTAAATATTGGCTGGACTGCCTACATGTGCAAAGAACCAAGCTCAAGAGAGACATAAAAGGTCTGCATTAAAGTTCAGACTTAGATTATAAGATTTTGCCACGTCTTCAATTGAAATGGGGCACATTCTCTACAATAAATTGACACAATTTGGTACTACTCTTAAAAGTGGAAACAGCAGTTTTGTGACATGCAACATATTGACCACCCATCACATTTTACCATAAGACGACAAATCCTGTTGGAAATTAAATGCGAGTGATATTTGGCACTTGAATTGTGGTTCTACCATCAGTCTCTACTCCTGTCCTGTGACAGACCAGACGACTTCTTAACAGTAGCCTTTTTGGCTCACTGCTCAAACTGATTTACAGGCTGGAGGAGTCAACCACCTCAGAGCAGTAAAGCGCCTGGATGGAAGGGGGGGGGGGGGGGGGGTCGGTTGGGAAGTTTGCAGTATAGGATATTGGACCAAGCTAAGGCAGAGGAAGCAGAACATTCCTGGCTAACTGAAAGCAGAGAAGAGCTGGATTTTAGGGTTCAGGAAGCAGACAGAGGGCAAATGAACGCACCACACAGTCTTGAGATGGACCTGCAAAAACGTCAATTTCTTTTTTAATATGGTATAAGTTTAAATGGTTAACCAGCCAAAAACATTGAGACTGGCTGAGGAAAATCTTCTAAACATTCACAAGTACAAGCCAGCTTCTAAGAAATCAATAATCAGAATCAAGTTGGCTATAGTTCAATTATTCAAATGTTCAATGATCCAATTGTGATATGACACTTTGAAACAGGCCATGTAACACTTGTTATGGGTTGTCAAAAGTATTATTTCAAACATGAATATGTTTTGAGTGAGCAAGTATTGATGCGATCAAACAATATCAATACATATACAATATTTGTAAAGACATTACAGGGATTTGTCCAAAGAAACTCCTTTTGAAATTCCTCACCATAGTATCAAACAAAAGGCTTTGGAATTGTAACGCCGTGAAAACCTTTGTGAGCGAACATGTTGCATTAGACTTAGTGACATGGTTAATACAGTAAAAGGACAAACAAAACGAAGACTCACGGTTTGCTGAGTCAGACTATAGTTTTAGAAATAGTGGCATCGCGGGAAGAAAATCAGTACTGCCAAACTTTAGTGGTAAACAACAGGAGGGAACCAGACTCGAAGCAAGTTTGGGAGAACAATATGAAAGTAACAAAACGTGGTTGATAACATAAAAGCGAGGGTACCAGCAAAGAATGGAGCCGAAAAACTGAATAAAACTGTTAAAAACACCAGGATTATGTTCGCTTCACTGAAAGCTTCGGAGCGAGGAAGTGGGGGGGGGGGGACTCACCACTGGAGTTACTTAATAACACAAATAGCGGCCACGTTTTAATTTTTCTAACTTTTCAGTACATTTTTCACGCTAGAAACTTCAAATATGTATTTAAAAAAACTAAAGTTCAATATGGCTCCATTAGCCGACACACAACACCCACCTCGTGCGCTCGTCTCCTCCGATCCCTCGCGCGACTTAATTAATTAACCCAGGTGTTCGTAATTAGCGCGCGTGAAGCCAGGACAAGGGTGGTCACGCGGCGTGTCCTTCCGCGGTCAGTGTACTCTCGTATCCATCCGAGCCGGCGGTAGTGGGTGGCCCCATAAGCAAAGAGCGAGGGGTCCTGTGTGAGTCTGCTGCTGCTTAGAACCAAACTTCTCCTCTTGGTCTCGTCAGTCCCGTCTTCGTGCTGTGTCCCCCGCCTTCTCCACGTAACTGGTCCCGTCCCCATTCAGGACACAGCGGAGGTGGAGCAGCCTGGAGAAGGAGGCCTCTCTGAAACCTGAGCTCCATCACTGAAGTTGTGGAGTGGTTCTGCAGACATGGAGCTGCACGGAGAGGGCCTTGAACAGATTCATTACACGCACATTGTACATAATCACAATCATATTACAGCAGTCATATAATCATTTTATGTAATTTATTTGTTAAGTATAAAACGACAGTAGCTCAGTTGGTAGAGCATTGGCCTTCAGGCCTGAAGGTCGTGGGTTCAATTCCCACCTCTACACCTTCTCCACCGACTCCCACTGATGAATGCTGTCGTTGTGTCCTTGGGCAAGTCACCTAATCCTACTTTGCCCAAAGCCCCCGCAGAAAGATCAAGGCTATGCTCACACTCAGAGAGCAGCCGTCCTCCTGTGGACTCACCACCTGCAGAGGGTCAGTGAGGGGCTGGTGCTATGAGACTTGGGTGGCATCTCTGACTGCCACCCCCCTGACCCAGAAATGGATTAAAGGGTAGAAAATGGATGGATGGAAGTATAAAACGAATCTAGAGTTTGCTTACATCTCAACTCCTATTCGGCCCTTTAAGATTTGGAGATCCATTTTTCTGCAAACAGTGAGGAATTTCCAGTGTTGCATTTCTAGTTACAGAACAGTAGGAATGAGGAGCACACAACACAAGAAAAACGAAAAATAACTCTATTCTAAGATAATTATAATTAAAACACGTATACAATCTCAAGCTTTAGCATAAAGATGCAAATCTAAAATCTCCAACTTTAGCATTATGAAGAAGCCAGAAGAATTAAGTATAAAATCTCTGGCTTTAATAAAAAGTATAAAGTATCTTTAGTATCTTTTAGTATAAGATAAGTTTTCCAATGTGGTTTTACTGCAAATGGCAAATAAATGAATCTGAATCTGTTTAGTTCCATGGTAATATGGTTCTTCTCTCTGCAATCTTCTACAGTATAACTGTATAAATCTTTCAATATGTGACATAATGTAAGTTTACTTCAGAAATATGTATCATATCAAAAGGACAGTTGTAGAACATGCAGCACTGTCTCACAAAGGGAACTGAATTTACAGCTTAATCTTTAGTTTTATCTGAAGAGAACACTGTGCTGCTGTGATAACTGTTGTGTACAGATTAGCCTGAGTCCGAGTCCAAACCATTGATTTGCTCCTGTTTCTTTAAGTACAGATTTTCCAAATTTCAGATTCAGATTAATTTTATTATCAATTTGCAGAAAAACCTTTGGAATACATGTGCTAAAATCCCCGAGTGTGCATCACACATATACACAAAAGCTGAAAGAGTACTGACAACAAGAGCAGGATCATTGATTTTCTTTGTTTAAACTGATAACAGCTTGTGGAATAAATTGATGTCCTGCTTCGCAGCGAGCAATATCTTCTGCCAGAGGGAAGAAGCTGGAACATGGCTTTTCCAGGGTGGTCAGAGGAAGAGTCATTAGTTATTTGACGGCTGCGGCTCACAGTTCTCTTTCTTTGGCTTTGGTGATGTTGACCTCAGAGTCAGAGAATAAACAAACTTTAGATGGTGCAGCAATAAAATACATAAATCAACTTGGCCAAACATGTTTATTTTTATTTTTTATGTCCAAGACAGACTTATAACTAATTTTGCAAACAACATATTTAGTATCAAATAATCATTTCATAGGATGGAAAAAGTTTGGAAATGAGCTCCAATTCCATTCATATAGCTCCAAAGAAATGCACCAAATAAGAATGGGAGTGCAGCCCTCAAAGTGCAGCTCCAGGCCTGCAGACTTCTCACTTATGGACTCTACCGTTGCATGCTGGACACAAAAGCACATGGGAATATACATTTTTATAGCGGGATGATGCAAGAGTTGTGACTAGGCTAAACAGCTCCCAGAGAAGCTTTCTGGGGTGATGTGTCAACAGGAGCACCCCTAAACAAAAACACCTCTACATAAAACACTGTCACATATATTTGAGCATACTATTCCAGCTCGCCCATATGGAGAATCATAGCAGCAGACATTGCGTCATTGAGCCCCAATTTAAAGCAGCCCGCCCTGCACCCACACCACCACATTTTCCAATCTCGCCATAAATAAATGTCACAGGATTTTCTTTAAGAAGAGTAAAAACAAAGGAGAATTCATGATTTTGTAGCGTAACTTTTAGGCCAATTTGTTTTGCTGACAGCAGTATATGCTTTTCCATTTGTGGGTTTTTAGCTGCCTGTGATATGCAACAAGTTGAGGACCTGTTCCCATTGTGTATCTATTCTATCTACATTAACACATGTTTAGATTTGTTACTTGGTCAGACTGTCCAAATATTGCAACATTTCACCAGTTTATGGGTCGTGTTGTCTGAGCAGAGACGCACAAGAGACAATCCTCTCA